AGATAATAGAGCCGATTTTTAATACAATGTTCAGAAATAAACTATGCAGAATCATCTTCCTTCATTTTTTGCAAAGTTTTGAGTAAATTTGATGCATCATTTTTAGGATCATTATCAGAACCCATTACATTAGCCCTTTGAAAATATTGAATAATATTAGCTAAGTCTTGATCTAAGAATAGCTGATCTGTAAATTCACCATGCAATAATTATTTTAATATATGTTGATTAATCCCATGAACAGTCTTTACATAAAATTCTATTTTATCTATCACATTTTGAGGGAATTGCCTATATGTATTTGCGAAAGTTGCTGTATCAAAGTTTAATGCATGACCATGGTGCATGAAATTTAATTTAGTAATAACCAGGCCTGGGGAATCTACTGGCCAGCATATGTTAACAAAACAAGTACACTTAGTTTTAACAGATTTTCTATTACATTGCTAAGATTGGTCTGTTACAGCTTTTTTGGGTTGATACTTTCCAGCATGTTGACATTCAAACACATATTTATAAACACCACCGTTCTTATTAAGATATTTATTTTTAATTCTCCATACAAATCCTTGTTGTTGTCTATACGCTAATAAAACCAAGTCTACATGATCCCAAGTTTCAAATTGCATTCCAACACATAACCTAGATGCTTCTTCAAAAGCTTTTTTAAGTATGGATCGAGCCTCTATTAATCATATTTTGCTAATTCCAGCCCTTAAAATATCCATCAAGCAATAAAAAAAAGCATGCGGTGCTATGTAAGGGTACGTTTTGTTAAAGTTCTAATGTTATTAAACAATAAATAGTTAGATACCCAAAGAATAAATGATAAAAATTCATAAATTACTATACAAATATCAATAAAACAAATAGCGATATGACAATAACCTATATTTTTGTAATTGTAATCAAAACTAATTTAATCCTACTATAAGACAACTAAATCCTAGTACATATACTGTTAAAGAAGGCTTCTAAATAAATATTCAAAGCATTTAAACTGGTTTATTTTCTTATATATAATGTAATATACCAACATCTCCTTGAAATAAGTAATAAATTCTACATACCTTAGAATACAAGTTTGAATGCTAATGAACACCAACATGCTAGAGGTACTAGCACGAACATTAAAGGAACTATTACAAACATTAAGGTTTTGGCACAAAGTTTAGCTTTAATTTGACTATTAGGCACAGCAAATGCTAGAAATGACAGAACTGGGATAACAAATGCTAGGCACGTCGGATAGTAGGTATGAACGTTAGCACCTGAACGAATGTTAGGCACCTGGATGAATATTGGGCACCTGAACAAATGTTGGGTACCTGGTACGAATACTGAATATAATATTAGGTATAAATGTTGTTTAATACAAATATTAAGTATGAATATTGGGCGTAAATATTGCGAACCTGAAGGAATTGTAAATACCTGATATAAATGTTAGACATCTAATATAAATCTTAAACACTTTGCAAAAAATGAAGGAAGATGATTCTGCATAGTTTATTTCTGAACATTGTATTAAAAATCGGCTCTATTATCT